ACACTTGTAGCATGTCCACATATTCATCATTAGTAAAATTTGGCATAATTCTTGTTAATTTACACCCAAAAAGTATTTAGCTGATAACAGTGACAACTTACGGAAGAGTTAATTGTGACAACTGGCATGACAGCAGCACACTTAGTTTTTCTTTGATTGATTGCAATCATATATGGTGTGAGGTGAATGGTGATACATTTTATTTTTTATTAATAAACGAAAAGTTTTAAAGGAAAATTGCTAGAGAGGTAAAAGTTTCTAAAAGAACCAGTTTATCTAATGCGTATTTTTGGATATCGAGTTTTTACGAAATATAAAAGTTATGGCAAAAAATGGCTTGAGGGGTGGTTATTTCAACCCCTTTCGAGGGGTTAAAATTTTCGAAAAATAGTTGAAAACTCGCATCTGTATTAGTAAACAACCTGTAACAAATTTGTTATTTGTACCTCGTTCGGTTTTCAAATTACAGCCAATTTTCATATTTTTTTTTGGAAACTTTGATGGTCCATATCTCTTCAGGGGTGAACATTTTACTAAGGCGATTTTTTGCAGATCGTGTTCTTTTGAAATGTAGATTCACTGGTATCATGTATGCTACTGCATTCAAAAACACCCTGTATACTTTATATATTTTTTCATTTTTAATTTAATTTTTTTTAATGCGGGTTTTGAAATGGAGACAATCTCAATCCTGTATAACGTAAAGTGTTCTTTAACGGAGAATGCAAGATGTTCGATAAGATCGCAAGCATTGAAAAATTATTCATATGAATTTTCTGTAAATTTCTGCGGATTTTGCAGATAATTCGACTCTGTATTATCAAATAGAAATCACGAAAACCCTTCAGTAAGCCTTGTTTCCATAAATTCAGTCGATGTTCAATCATAAGTACTTCCTGCAAACTTTAGCAATTCATGCCTGTTATGGGCGCCATATTGCATACGCCATTTTGAGATTCGATAATCTGAGTGTATTTGTCAAATATTGTTAGTGAAAATTACATTAGCAGACAGTAACATATGTACGGTCCTCCTTATTTTATCGAATTGAAGCAAGAGGGTATTATCGTTGAGCAAATTCTTCAGGGAACTTATTTTTGATGCAGGCGGATTGCGATCGTCATCTGTGCTAAAATTCTGGGTTGTTAACCATTAGGCATAGTCCGTCTCTGGCGTTCTGGGTATACTGAAGTTTCACTTACAACATGAAAAACAATCTGTATGTATGTGTTATCGATCACCAAATTTGCATCATGCTAAAGTTAATACTTTAGAGACTGTAAATAAGAATAACTTTTTAATTTTCACCTTTGAGACCCCGTAACTTGTTAACGAAGGCCCGTATGAAAAAAAATGTATATAAAGAACTGATATTATTTTGACCTCATCTATTTGTATCAAGTACCTACCGGGACACCCTATACATACAGGGAGTTATGAAAAACACTGACATAAATTCAGGGCCTAAAAGATATTACATTTTGTTCCTATGAACTATGGGCGTATCTTTTTCCGTTTTCAAGATACAGGGCGTTAAAAATAATTTTTTAGAATCGAATTTCGGTCCTATCTTCCACAAATTTCTACCGAATGAACTGAAATTTTGCTATGTTGAGTTTCTGGGGATGCTAAATGCTCTGGAGTTATTAATTTTTGGCTATATCATATAGTGTTTAGTGCAGTACTCCGCGGAAACATTTTAGCTCCTAACTTTTTTGAGGTTAATCTTTTTGTCCCATTTGTCACTTGCTGTTATGTCAAATTTTATTCTAAACAAAAAAGGTGCTCTCATAAGGGATGATAAAATTTGCCCGTTTTCGAGAAAAACCAAGTACAGTGCTCCAAAGACAATCAGCTAGTATCCCAAATTGTTGTTTTTTATTTCAAGTAGGCTTTGGTACCTAGTTACTATTACTGTTAGTTCCATTAATAAAACTCAAAATCAAAGTTATTCTTTTAATGGTAATGATAAAAAGTAATAGTTAGTTTATTTCTGGAAATGTTTAACACATATTGAATACAATAATTGAAAAAGGGAAAACAAGAATAACTAATTATTACTAACAGAAAATTCAAATTTAAGGAAAATAAATCAGAATTAGTGTTCAAAATGTCCTCAATTTTAACAAATACAAAAATGAATTCTTGTTTGCAATGAAAATATTCTGATCGTCTTTTAGTTGATTGAAAACATCAACAATCTTTTGTCTCAGATGTTCTGCTGAATTTATTTCTGTTTCATCTACTTTTTGTTTGGCATAGCTCCAAACTACATAATCAAGAGGATTAAGGTCGGGTGATCTTGGAGGCTAGTGAATTGGAGCATCTGCACCTCGACCAATCCATCGCTCAGGAAAATTGTCATGAAGCCACTCTTTGCATACTCGAATAAAATCTGGTGGATCGTCATCATGCATGAAATAATAATATTTTTTTACTAATAGTGGAATATCATTTTCAATAATGTCGAACAGACTATTTCTTAAAAAATCTAAATACTTGGTGCTATTTAAATTACCATCGAGAATGTGGTATTCTATTAACTGATTCCCCATCGTGGCAGCTCAAACATTTACTTTAAATGTTGAAAATGGGACTTCTTTTTGGTCCTAGGATTTTCTTCAGTCCACAGATGCTCATGAAAGTCGCTTCGTCTGTAAAAAGGATAGATCGTAGAAAATTCGGATTTTCATTTTGTCTTTCTTCCAGCAATTGACAAAAATCTGTTTGCAGCTCGTAATCATTTGGTAATAACTCTTGTACTTTTGCGTAATGATATGGGTGTAACTGTTACTCTTTGTGATAATTTTCTGATATTCACTGAGGGTTCCTGAAATACCATATCTAATATATTTTCCTCTTTTTCAGCAGTCTTTTTGGCTTAAACGAGCCTGTCTACCGGCATCGCCTTTCAACGGCCAAAAATGTTTCTCTATTTGGTAATCTGCGAACAGGAAATTTTTCCGAATATCGCCTTACAGCAGCAAAACTGTTCCCTAAACATTCCCCTAAAGTTAACAACATTTTGGTATATTCTGAGTTTCAATAATTATTACTGTTATTCATAACGTAGCAAGTAGAAATTTCTTATTACACGAATTAAAATAAATAATTGTTCTGATAATGCACATAACACGTTCATTAGACATAAGCCTACTTGAAATAAAATACAATAATTTGGGATATCAGCTGCTTGACTTTCGCGCACTGTGCCCGGTTTTTCTCGAAAACTGGCAAATTTTAACATTTAACACTTCTTACAAGAGCATCATTTTTGTTTAAAATAAAATTTGCTATAACAGCAAGTGACAAAAGGGACAAAAAGATTAACTTAACTAAAAAAGTTAGGACCTAAAATGTTCTCGCGGAACTGCACTGGACACCCTGTATGATATAGCCAAAAATTAATAGCTCCAGAGCATTTAGAAACCCCACATAACAAAATTTCAGTTCAATCGGTCGAATTTTGAGGAAGATAGGACCGAAACTAGATTTTAAAAAACTATTTTTAATGCCCTGTTATCTTGAAAACGGAAAAAGATACACTCATGGTTCATAGGAACAAATTGTAATATTTTTTGAAATTCTATCAGGCCTTGAATTTAGGTCAGTGTTTTTCAGAACACCCTGTATACAGGCTGTTACAAATTCGCTTCTCACTACAGGGATCTCGAAAACGGTAAGAGACACAAACTAGCTTAAATGGAGGTAAAGTTGCGTAATCAGGGGACCAACATTATGCCTCTAAAAAATCAAGGCTAACATGATTAGTTTTCGAAATATTTGAAAAAAAACTAAATTTTGGAAATCCGTTTTTGTTTCATATCAGTCTTGTTTGAGGTGATATTGAAAAAAGAAGAACACTTTCTCATGGCCACTTTTTCCCCTCTATCGAATGGCATAATTCGTCTCTCCAGGACCATCATCAACTTCATTTTTTTAAATACAACCCTAGAAATTTTATTACATATTTTCAAGCCTTCATGACCCCCAATACTGTACTGCCTCAGCCCGACACGGATTCAGACGTTTTGTCGCGAAAAATTCATCTTCAGTGTATTCGTTCCGAATTTATCTAAATTTTTTATTTAGATTTCTTTATTTATTGACACTGTAAGTGTCGTTAAACCCTGTGAAATCCATCTAGTTATTTAAACTATTACCACTACTCATTAAAATAAAAAATTATTAGAGTTTTATTCTCGATGCCATAGTTATTTCTAGGCTTCTCAAGTGCTTAAAATTCAAATAAATTCCGATCTTTTTTTTTCAGGATATTCGTATAAATACATCTGACATGCTCTTTCACAGTTGCGGTTACAGATATAATAAGTTCCGATAATATTACGCTGATCTTCATTTTCAACCTTTGCCAAAACGAAAATGTTTTTGAACATTTACTGAAATTTTTTAAAGAATAATATTCAATTGGCGTTTTGGTTGTTCATATGCATTTTTAAGAATTAGTTTGTCATAATAAAACTAAATTTGTAATAATGTTTTAATTTTGACGCAACAACTTTTGAATTGTGTATGACCAAGTGATGGTAATAGTTAATAATAATAAATGTTTTATTGTAACGCGTGGTGGTAATAGTTTAAATAACTAGATGGATTTCACAGGGTCTAACGACACTTACAGTGTACGATAATTCAATAAACAAAGAAATCTAAATAAAAAACTTATATAAATTTGGAACGAATACACTGAAAATTAATTTTTCGAGACAAAACATCTGAGGCAGTACAGTATTGGGGGTCATGAAGGCTTGCAAAAAATGTAATAAAATTTCTAAAAAAATTAAGTTGATGATGGCCCTGAAGAGACGAAACGTTTCATATAAAAATTGATTATGCTAATCGATAGAGGGGAAAAAGTGGCCATGAGAAAGTGTTCTTTTTTCAATATCATCTCTAACAAGGCTGAAATGAAACAAAAACGGATTTCCAAAATATCGGGTTTTTCCAAATATTTCGAAAACTAATCATGTTAGCCTTGATTTTTTAGAGGCATAATGTTGGTCCCCTGATTACGCAAATTTGCTCCCATTTAAGCTACTTGGTACCTCTTACCGTTTCCGAGATCCCTGTAGTGAGAAGCGAATTTGTAACAGCTTGAATATCTGGAATTTTGGATTTAGTCGGCTGTCAGTCAAAATTTTTCCCTGCTCTGTAGTTCTCAGTTCAAGCTTTCGACTACTTTATTGTCTCTTCCTTAGTAACTTTATAACGGTTACAATATGTATTATGAAAAACTTTGAAAGCTAAAACAAAAATTATACTTACAAATGTTGAGATTGTATTCAACACATTAGAATATGAAAAAACATTGATAAACGTAATGAATAAAATTTAAATATTAAAAGTCAAAACACACTTAATAAACCAGCTAAAATGTAACTATAATTATATTGAAAATATAAATATAATAGTGGTAAGCTTTATCCCATATAAGTGAGGTTGTCAGAACTGAGTCGTGGGACATAGGCGTACGCATTATATATTAAAAAGCAACAAATTAAATTGTCTATAATACACCACCATAAACATCAACGGATAGGAATTAACTACGCAACATCCGTACGATAACAAATGCAACAGTATATTAACGTGACGTGAACATGGAAGTCATTCTGAGGCAGCGGCTCACGCATGTCTCGATTGACCCGCTTGGCACGCCATTGAATTGCGGCTCTCTTTGACAGCCAAACATAAAGTAATATAATATAGAAAAACTACTAAATAAGTCAAACTACTAAATTTCAACATGCGATTTCTCAAAGACGAAAAATGAATTGGGATAAATCCAAGTGCGTTTTAAAGACTAAGTATAATAACGAGCGTTCAAATAAAAACGTGGTCGAAGTTGGCTCTGACACATTGGACGTAGGGAGTAGCATATAGCGACCAACTTAACCTCATTTCTCAACGAGCTGTATAGCAGCCGTCAGTTTCAATAACGTTAATGACTATATAACTTTATTTTAAAGAATAATCGTGATAACAATAACAAACAATTAAAGGAGCTGCGGAAAGTGTCCCCCTCCTTGTTATAACAATAAATTAAAGCAGCTGCTGAAAGTGTCCCCCTCCTTGTTCCAAGCACTTTTCACACCTGTTTCTCAAAGAATTAAAGACATTTTCTAAGATGCTCGGGGTATTGTTAATTTCACGAATCTTGTCTATAAGTCGAGCCTGCAGATGGTTTAAATCAGGAATAGGCACTTCAAAAATAGTGTTTTTAAGGTAAGGCCACAAAAAGAAATCACACGGCGTAATATCACATGACCTCGGTGGAAATTCATGTTCAGCATTGAGACTTATTAGTCGATTTTGGAAAACTTCCCTCAACATATTCATCGTCTCGCCTGCCGTATGTGCCCTTGCGCCATCTTGTTGAAAGTAAAAGTTTGTAATTTCGTTTTCTTCCAGCTGGTTAACAAAAGGAGCGATAATTTCTTCTCTATACCTTTGCGCAGTAAAAGTACCATTAAAAAAAATAAGTCCATAAATCCTCTTTCGATTGAGAGCACACCAGACTCCAATTTTTTGAGCGTGTAGAGGTCCCTCGACAAAAAAGTTATCTGGTTTTTCAGAAGACCACATTCTCATATTCTGTGAGTTTACGTAACCACTTAAATGAAACCAGGCTTCATCAGAAAAAAAGGTGATATTATGAAGTTCACCGTAGTTGTTTAAAAACCATTCACAAAATACAGCCCGTCGCGGAAAATCAACTTCATGAAGTTCTTGCTGACAAGTTAAACGATAGGAGAACAAACGCAAATCTTTTTTTAACACTGTGTGGCAGGTACCGACTGATACTCCCACCATTTGTGATAAAACACGTACAGAAGTTCTTGGCACATTTTCCATTATTTGTTGGATATTTTCTTTTAATTCTTCAGTCCGCTTTTTAGGTCGGCCGCTTCCTTCTTTTCTTGTTACACTGCCCGTTTTACGAAAAACATTAACACAACGCTGAACTGCACTTTGAAAAATTTTGTACTCAACAACGCCGGGAAATTGATTTTGAAATTCTATGAAACATGCCTCAAGAGAATACTTCCATATTCCATCAATCTTGCGTCCATTTCTAAAGTAGGACTCTATGATAAACACTTTTTGTTCTTGAGAAAACACCATTTTAAACGCTTCTTAAAACGAAAATATTCAAATTGATAGCGGCGATATAGCGCTTTGACAGATGACGTTTAAGTTCATTTGCTATACGCTACGCCCTACGTCCAAATTTTCAGAACCAACTTGACCACGTTTTTATTTGAACGCTCGTTACTTTAAAACCCCATTAATGGTTTTAGCAAAAAAATACCTTTGCATGTAACAACCTCAAATAAGTAAAAAAATCGCTAGGTTAGGTTATCTCAAAAACCAGAGCCAATTGAGAAATTTGGAACTCGGATTCGAATTCAGCGCACCAAAATCCTTCGGAAAAGTACATTCTGGTTAAAGGGTCGACCAAATTTTGTCTGCCTGTGTAATTTTTTTCGTGCTTGAACGAATGGTGAAAACAGCATCTTGTTATAGAGAAAAAATATATGTTATTCTTGATTTCAGATGCTACTAGCAACGTTTTCAGTAATGGGCGGTGCTTCAGCTCTACTGCTACTACTAGTACCTGTCGGAAGAGTAACCCTTACATTCCCTGAAAAGGTAGTACTAGGCGTTTCTTGCGAAGCAAATACATCACCTGTGCTATCATTATACCAAGAATATCCATGTGTACCTTTAAGTCGTGATAAGTTATTTAATGCCGATATAAAAATAGAATCCTGTGGCTTCGCCTGTCAATCTGTGCTCAATGAAAATTACACAAATCAAATAATAGAAACCAATTACTACAAGACGTTGATATATGACTCTGAAAGCAATACAACTCTAGACAATATTTTTTCGTTAGACGAAGCCGACATACATCAACCCGAACCCATATCAAAGTCGAGGAATCATAAAACTTTAAAAAACAACATGAGATACACTACGTCTATTAGGAAGCTGTCAAAAAGTTCATTTTATTTTCCTTTCAATTCTATGTATAATTTTTCTTGTGGTGTTGAAAATGATACTAATGTGAGTTGCATTTTTGGAAGTCAGGAAAAACTGCAAGACTTCAAAAAATTAAAAGATCCCTTAAATGTCGGATTAACGTTACTGGAGATGAACCAGAACGATTATGAAGAACAAAGGCAACTTTTTTCTGTACAGTACATAGACAGTAAACACAGCAACATTACATGTAACAGAAACGATTCATTGAACAACAAACACGTATCAGTGGTAATACCTCTAACGTTAAGTGACACTAAAATAAAACAGCTTGATTTAAGCACCTGTTCTCCACGTTGTATAGCCACGGCTCCCAGGAAACAAATGTGTTCGAACATGAAAACAGTAGTGGAATTAGACATGAGAGTAACCTTTTGGTCATATATGTGTGTCCGTGTGTTTGTAAGTATAGTCAGCGGTACGTCTTTCGCTATGTTTGAAGGAGCAGTCATAGCGATCCTTAGGGAACACAAGGCTGACTATGGACTGCAAAGGATATACGCTACTATTGGCGGAATGATAAGTTCTCCAGTGTCGGGATGGATGATAGATTTTGCCAGTAAAGGAAAAGGATACACAGATTTTCGGTAAACTAAAAACCGTTTAGAATTTAAGTGATTTAATTACTTCTTGCTTGTTTTAGGCCGATTTTCTTCTTGTACGCAGCATTAAAAATAGTGAGTGGCATACTCATGCTCTTCATCAATTTAGAATTTAAGAAGGCAGCTTCAAGCGTAATTAGTGATGTTATATCGGTACTTAAAAAGTTGGAACTTATAACCTTATTTATATCCTGCTTAATTTTAGGTGAGTATGATATCATTAATATTCCCACTATGAAAGAATGTCAAAAAAAGTTGTCTGTACTTTTCATGCGACATATGTTATCCGTTGTATTTTTGCCTCCTAATCACGAATCCGGTGTCCGAATTGAGCTATCACATCACAGGAATTTCCTAACCTCAAAGAACTGGTCAAAAGTAGCAAAAATTCACGAAAAAGTGCTAGGAAAAATACAAAAATTTTTTTTTCTGCGTTCAAAACCTCATTTATGTGGTTAAGACCCCACTGAACATGAATCCGCGCTCAAAATTTATGGTTCTTTTTCTAACCTACAAAGACGGATCAATTGTCAGATATCACGAATATTCAAAAAATAACAGATTGGTGCACGGGGGTTTTTGAGGTCGCTGATCACGGATCCGAGGTCAATTTTGCAAAATTTAATATGGCGGATCCAATATGACAGACCTAATTATCAAAAAATAACACATTCGCGCCAAATTTGGTATACAGGGATTTTCGGGGTCACTGATCACGAATCCGAGATCAGATTCACAAAATTCGTTTTTAAAAATTTAATCAATTACCTATGTGGTATTCCACACCAAATCGACCACTTTTAACCCTAACCCCTTTCGATTTGGCTGAAACTTTTTTATTGTTTTCTACCCCATTGAAAACCTCTGAGAATTTTTTCACCCAACTCAAAAAAGTTATGAATTTTTGAAAAAAATAGCTTTTTTTTAAATAACCATAACTTTTACAAAAATTGAGTTATCGGGACGTTTTTTTCAAAATTTCTGTTTTTAAATGTACTTTTTGAAAAAAAAATAAATCAAAATTATCTGAACTTATCTTCACTGTTTTTTTTTCAATTTTCGAAAAAAAAACGAAAATTTCTAGATTATTTTTTATAAAAAACTGATGTTTTTCGTTTTCTATTTTTTTTTATTGAAAAACATTTTTTTTTCAAATTTAGCTTATTTTAAATAACACCATTTTGAAAATTTTTGAAGACGTATATAGAATCCCAAAATTGAAAAAAAAATAGGAAAGAAATAATTGAAAGTGGTAAACATGAAAAAAATTTCGATTTTTTAAAAAAAGTTAAGAAAAAAAGATCGTTTTGAGTACTTTTTTTGTATTTTTTTTTTTTGAAAATTACAACTAAAATCAAAGAAAATGAAAAAAAACCTCAACCTCAAAAAAACGGTCAGATATCACGAATTTTCAAAAAATAACAGATTCGCACCAAATTTGGTATACGGGGGTTTTCGGGGTTGCTGATCACGGATCCGAGATCAATTATGAAAAATTCAAGATGGCGGATCCAAGATGGCCGACCAAATTTAGTATACGGGGGTTTTTATTTTTTGTTTTAATTTACTTACCTGTTTTAAAATATAATATGTAATTTAATGTTAAAAAATAATACTATTATGCATATTACATCCAAAAACTCGATTCTCATTAAAATAAACCTTATACATAAAAAATATGTCATTTTCTTTACGTAAAAATATTGTTTTTTAAGAAAATTGTTTATTGGTACCATTGTGAAAAATTATTTCTCGAAAAAATGCGAAAAAAAATTTTTTTACAAATTAATAGTTTATAACAAATTAATAATTAATTATTGCAAAATGGACCGTGCAGTTGTTATTATTTTCATGCGCTACCCCAAATTAAAAAAAAAACGTTAAAATTGGTCCACAATTACCGGAGATATCGTAAAATTTTCGGACAGTTAAGATTTGAAGTCTCGGAACGTTTCTGTCTTATTTCCCCCAACCACATTCCAGGTGTAGAAATGTATTCGATGACGTTTTTAAAGGGTTAAAAATTACTATAAAAAGCATTTTAACCGTTATTATGAAGTTTAAGGGTTGATTTATTCTCGAAATTAAGTCTTAATGTTTATAAACAAGTTATGAATTTAAAAAACGCCATCTCGGCTAAAAATGGTCCTAGTACATTTTTTTTAAATTCGTGAAAAATTACCAGGATTGCGAATATCAAAGCGGCTTTAAAAAATATTAATTCTTCGCAAAGTTATTAATGAAAAACCTTATAAACATATTACACTATATGTATACGCCGTTTTGAGGAGGTTAGCTTATGAAATTACAATTTCCAGTTGCATGTCTTGAAAATATAAGTCAAGACGAAACAAATGAGCACTCATAAGGCCCTTTATTATAACGCTAACAACCGCGTTCTTCAATTGAAAAAATGCTATTTCTAATAAACAAACGCAAAAACTCGTAAACAAATAAATATTTTTTTGCCAAATTTTCAGCGTTTCTTAAGCATCAGAAAATATAACGTTTACTGCAGTTTAGAGACGATTTATGCTCTTTTCTTCTATTTATAGCAAATTCAAATTTTGCTGTTTTTTTGCAATTGTTTAAACAAATTGTTAATGGATTTTAATTTAGCAGGTCTCCAATGAAGCGTTTTTTGACAACCTATAAGTATAAACAAAAGCAGAAATTCCTGTTGGAGAGCGCTTTTTAATACAGCTAAAAAACTCAATTTTTGGTAATTTTTACATTATAATCATTGTTTAAACAATGATCTTGTTATTTTAAACCGATACTTTTTGGGAAATATTATTTCTTTTTGCCTAAACTAACGATTAAATCAAGTTTCAATCTGAAACGAATTACCTTTTGATTTACATGTATTACAAATTTCATTTACTTGGCTATAGGTGAAAAGTGACTTGAGGCACCTTAAATTGTAGATAATTTAATTACCTAAACATAGAACAATTAATTTTCCAATTGTCGTCTAGATTTTCATGGACAGTAAAGTGAAAAAACACGTACATATTTACAATTTGCTAATTTAGCGTCATTTCTTTCGAGTTACTTTATTGATATTATCATTCTACGTAGCCTTCTCTGTCATAAAGTGCAATAAAATGTCTACTAATAATTTTTTCACGTTCAAACTCTAATTCGACTGGAGTAATAATTAAACCTGTTATTTAAAATACATATTTTACCGTTGTTTATGAATTATTTACTAACAGTAATAATAAGTTAACTAAAAATATTTTTTATAGGTTGCGCCTGGGGATTCATCGAGAGTTTCTTATTCTGGCTTCTTGAAGACTTGGGTGGTTCAAAATCTTTAATGGGTCTAACCATAACGGTAGGCGGTATCGTCGGCATACCGCTTTTAGTGCTATCGGGCCCGCTCATTAAAAAGTTGGGACATGCCAATGTGATATTCATTGGTTTTATATTCTACGCCATACGACTACTAGGGTATTCGGTTATATACAACCCTTGGTTGTGCTTGATATTTGAAGCTATGGAGTCCATTACGTTTGGATTGAGTTTTACAGCAGCAGTGACGTACGCAGCAAAATTATCAACTGTAACAACAGACACTAGTATTCAGGGGATGTTGGGAGGATTGTATTATGGCGTTGGTAAGTGTTTTCGTATGACACGTAGTGAATCTAAAATGTGTAACATGTATTTCAACTGCAGATATACTTTAATGAGAAAGTTTTTATATGAACTACACCCACTATTATACACTAGGCACAAAAATTAAAAGATATTAAAAAAATCTCAAAATTTGGGTGATTTTCATAGACTTGGAGGGAAATGGTCGTAGAGAGAATAAAAAAAATTAGGAATTTGGAGCTTCAAGTGTCTAGTTTTCAGATCTGCAGTTTAAAATTTTTTAGCGTCAGCAACGAAAAAAATGTTCCGGAGCCTTGTACGATTATTTGTCGCTGAGTTATCGTCGATCACAGCAAAAAATTGATTTTTGACTTTGGCAATCAATTACTCGGGAAATAATGGTTGTACAGAAAATGCAAGCAGGTTTTTGAGAACTGCAAAGTATTCTCTACAAGACGCCAAATGAGAGATCGTCTTTAATACCAGAACTCAGTTGGTAATCATTCTCATCATTGACTGCCGAAAGGTACATCACCGAAATCCTTGAACCACACGTTCTACCCATGCGTACAAGCATGAGGAATCGTTTCATTTTCATGCAGGATAATGCTCATCTTCATACCGCAAAACGTACGAGAAATTTTCTTCACTCCAGCAACGTGGTAACTCTCAACCATCCACCTATGAGTCCCGAATTGAACCCCATTGAGCATGTTTAGGACATGCTCGGGCATCGATGACGACGAGACTATCCGCAATTACAAAATTACCATCAACTGACCAAGGCTTTTTTACAAACTTGGCAAGGAATTACGCAACGAGATATCCGGCGGTGCATTAATATGCGAGACCGCTTAAAATCGGTGATCAGGAACAACGTCAAATCTGCAACGTCAAATCAACCAAATTTTTTTTGACGTTTGTGAAGCTTGTGGATATGTTAAAAAAAATTTGAAAACAATAATTTTTGAAAAAAAATTATTTTAATTTTTTTTTTAGAATCATGAACGTTTTTTTGATGAAGAAAATATGGAATATTACTAAAAAACATTTTTAACTTAAAAAAACGAATAAAAAGTGAAAAATTACTTATTACATTGATTTTCAGCAAAAACGACAAATTTAAACATTCCGGGAACTAAGAAAAAAAAATCGCGCAGCGTTTTGAAATTATCAGGGTTTCTGACACTTTGAGGTTGAAAAGTTACAGTCAATATCCTTAGTTTATTCATTATTTGCAAAGTTATGCCAAGTTATTCAAATATCCCTAATTATACAGTTTTTTACCTTTTTTCTTACCAACAGACAAACAAAAATTTTTTTTATAAAAAACCCATAATTACGACTTGTAGAGAATACTTTGCAGTTTTCAAAACCCTGCTTGGATTTTCTGTACGATAATTACTTCCCGAGTAATTGATTGCCAAAGTCAAAAATGATATTTTTTTGCTTTGATCGACGATAACTCAACGACAAATAATCGTATAAGGCGCCGGAACCGCTCAAATTGAAGAGAATTAAATTATCTAAGAGAGCTTTATGATGAAATTACCAAAATAAATTTTTTGAAGTCCATAGGCCTTTTTAAAAAAATCAAAAATTTACAAATTTTTTTTTCGTTGATTTTCTTATGATTACTCAAAAACTGCTGACGCTAAAAAGTTTTAAACTGCAGATCTGAAAACTAGACATTTGAAGCTTCAATTTCCTTTTTTTATTCTTTCTACAACCATTTCCTTCCAAGTTACAACTCTTTGAAAATCACCCAAAATTTTGGGATTTTTTTAATATCCCTTAATTTTTGTGCCTAGTGTATACACGGTGTTAAAAAAAGTGTAAAATATTTAAGGAGGTAATAGTATGAACCAAAATAAGCAGAAAAGTCTCAATAAACATGGGTCCGCAAAGTAACGGTTGCGGAGATATGGAATGTTTTATGTTTTTTAGCCCCTTTTTTTATTTTGCAAAAACGTTGTGTATTTTCTTATAATAGTTGGTTGATGTTTAGTGAAATAAACAGTACGTATTTGACAGTTGTTCTCAGTGCACAAGTTTTCTTTCGCTATGGCTGGTTACTCTAACGCAGAATTAACAGACATGCATTTCATGTATGGTCGTGCTAATGGGAACGCCACCGAAGCGCGACGTCTTTATGTTGACGCTTATCCAAATCGCCAGATTCCTTCACAACGCATGTTTGGAAGAATTCACCAAAGATTGCGTGATACCGGTTCCTTGAGCAAACAGTGCCATTTATCCGGAAGACCAAGGTCGGTATCCACTCCTAGAGCAGAAGAAGAAATTCTAGCACTGGTAGAGCAGAATCCAGGTACGAGTGTGCGGAGAATATCAGCCGAGGTAGGAATTAGTGGTCCTCTTGTTTGGAGAATCCTTCACGAGCAACTGCTTTATCCATACCATGTGCAACGAGTACAGGCCTTAAATCCAATAAATGATCATCAAGCACGTTTGGTTTTTTGCCGCTGGTTTCTACGTCATGATGCTGAAGACCCTCGTTTTCTTGCAAACATTCTTTTTACTGATGAGGCCGGGTTCACAAGAAATGGAGTGTTTAATTTTCACAATACGCATATTTGGGCCGACGAAAATCCTCATGCTCTAATAGAATCTGGACATCAGGCACGTTTTTCATTAAACATTTGGATGGGTATTGTAGGTGACAGGTTTCTAGGTCCTGTTGTTTTACCAAACCGATTAACAGGCGCTGCTTACCTCAACTTTCTGCAGAACACACTGTATGAGTTTTTGGAAGACATTCCTTTGAATCAGAGGCAACAAATGTGGTTCCAGCATGATGGTGCTCCAGCTCATTTTTCCATGGCCGTTAGAGAGCATTTACACCAAACTTTTCCACATAGATGGGTAGGAAGGGCCGGACCTGTTTTATGGCCTCCAAGATCGCCTGATCTGAACCCTCTAGATTTCTTTGTTTGGGGATATTTGAAGACATTAGTGTATGGTACTCCTGTAAATAGCCTGGAAGAGCTGCAGCTACGGATTAATCAAAAGTGTCAAGAAATCCAAACCAAGGAGGGTGTTTTCGAAAGAGTTCGAATATCGTTGAGACGAAGATGTCGTGCCTGCTTGGAAATGGACGGAGGGCACTTTGAACATCTTCTGTAACTTTGTTTTTTGTTTGTTAAAAGCTTCCTTTGTCGGTTTATTCCTAATAAAATAAAATGTTTGAAAAACGAATAGTGGTCCATATCTCCGCAACCGTTACTTTGCGGACCCATGTTTATTAAGACTTTTCTGCTTATTTTGGTTCATACTATTACCTCCTGAAATATTTTACACTCTTTTTTAACACCCTGTATAAACGGGACACCCTATATAAGCTGAATGATTCCAGTCTCATTCGTAAGTACAACATTTTTGTGCGTGCTTGTTTTATTATTCTTTGTAAACTTTTTCATTTACCAGCAATTTATATTAATATCATTCATATACCAACAATTTTTATTAACAAAATAAAATAATGGTTAGGATATGCTGATGATTTTAAGCTATCTTTACCTATTCGTGATATTACTGATTATCTAAAACCACAGAACGATCTTGACGCTTTTGTAATTTTTTGTAAAAAACAATCATTTGTTTATTAATATCGACAAATGCCATATAATCATTTTTACTCGAAATAAACATCCTTTCAATCATCAATATAGTATTAATGACTTAATTTAAAATTGTAAAAATAAAATTAGAGACCTTGGAGTGATTTTTGATAATAAAATGTTATTTGATGCCCATATTAATAAACTGATATCTAATACACTTAAGATGCTGGGTTTCATTATGAGGCAGTCCAAACAGTTCACTAATTCTAAAGCCATATTGCTTTTATATAACACATTTGTATTTAGTAAAATTAATTTTGCTCGAGTTATTTGGAATCCTCAATATAATATATAATATATTAGTCGCATTGAAATGATCCAATATAAATTTTAATTTTTTTTTCTTTTATCTGTAGGAGAACTTTGAACGACAACAATTTTCATAGATTGAGTGTTGAATATAATATTATAAGTTTAGCTAACAGGAGAGCCTTAGCGGATGTTATTAACCTGTATAAAAATCGACTGTGTCCAATTAATTAGTAAAATATTTTTTAATATACCATGCAGGTCGTTTAGGTCCTACGACTTGTTTTTCATTCTTTTTAAGCATAGGTACCAATGCCTCCGCAAACTCTCCTGTGTGCAGAATGAAGCATTCTTATAACGATATTTGTAGCACTTTAGATTTATTCTCTACCTCTTTAGTTTCATTTAAGAGATTGCTCAAACGTATACTTCTTTTATAATATTTTTATGCTATGCTTTTTATGATGCTTTTCTTTTATAATATTTTTTATGCTATTTATAATCTTAAAACTTTTTGTACTGTTGTTTGATGTACAGGGATGAATGAGTTAATTTTTTTTTAAAACGCCGAAACACGTTAACTGATTTTGATTTTATCCCATCTTTCGGTTATATAATAATTAATTTTTCTTCAACCCCTTAACCCCCAGCTACCCCTACTTTTTTTTTGAAATGAAAACATAAGGCATGAGGGGGCTTGTTGAAAAGCTTATACAAAACTGAATCCAGCCATACCAAATAAACAAATTTTATTTTTTCAATAGCAAGTTTTTTTTCATTTAGAAATTGAAACAACTAAATAATTTACGAAAATAAACTCAATGTCGCAAATGCTGAAAATGTCCTCCATTCACTATTTGGCATTCTCCAAGACGATAGTAAAAGCTGTCCACAGCATTCTGAATGACTTCAGCTGGTAAATTATGCATCTCCGCCCTAATCTTGTTATTTAAATCCTCAATATTATCCGGTCTGTCCTGGTAGACTCTTTCTTTCAAATATCTCCAAAGAAAATAATCCAGGGGTGTTAAGTCGGGGGATCTTGGCGGCCATTCAACTGTACCCCGTCTACCAATCCAGCGATTTGGAAACATTTCATCTAAGTATCTTCGAACATCAATACCAAAATGTGGGGGAGCGCCATCTTGTTGGAACCAAATTCTTTCATTCGGTATATCTGGATCAATTTCATGAGGGAAAATCACAGCTAGAGCAGGTATCAGGTCAAATGTTAGGAAATCCAGGTAGCGTGCGGCAGTAAGATTTTCTTCAAAAAGAATGGGCCCAAGATTCTGTTGTTGATTATACCTGCCCATACATTAACTTTTTGTGGATGCTGCGTATGCGATTCGCTTGTCCAGTGTGGATTTTCCTGGGACCAAAAGCGATACTTGTGCCTGTTAACCACTCCATTTAAATAAAACGTAGCTTCATCCGAAAAAAGTACGTCTCGTTGAAAACCATTATTGTCGTCGCACCGTCTCATCATTTCCTCACAAAATTGTAATCGCCTATCATAATCGTCTTCCAGAAGCTCTTGGACAAGACGTACCTTATAGGGGTGGTATTTCTCTTGTTTCAAAAACATTCGAATTGCAGTTCGAGAAGCATCGTGATTGCGGGCCAATGAAACAATTGAAGTATGAGGATTTTCAACAAGTTCAAATGCAATGTCTAATTTCTTTTCTTCATTCAAAGCACGTGCCTGTCCAGTTTTGGGAAAAGTCTGTAATGTACCGTGTTCCTCAAATTTGTGAAATATTTTACTAACTGTCTCTTGCGAGATTTGGTTTTCGGGATATTTCGCATTAAATAAATCGCGCACTTCAGCCTGACTTCTTATTTTGTCTCCACATCTAAGCAATATCAAGATTTCGATGCGTTGCCTTTCCGACAATACCATTGCAATTCAGTAAATAACTTGATTTTGACACAATAGTAACGTTTCAAACTCCAATTTACAACTAAAGCGAAAAATTAACCAGAAAGCCTGGCAAGTAAGTGGTACCAAAAAAAACGCAACATAAAAAATATATCTTCTTTGCGTTAGCAGTGATAGATACAGTTTCAAATTCTTTATTCTATTCTGTGCAAATTCATGGAGGATAACACTGAAGATAATTAAATGTTATTTAGGTGTATTTTAGGTAGGTGTTTTATACAACCCTAAAAACCTCGCTATTGAAAAAATAAAACTGTTTATTTACTATGGCTGGATTCGGTTTTCTATAAACTTTTCAACCCTAATGCCTTATGTTTCTATTTGAAAAAAAAAGGTGGGGGTAACTGGGGGTTAGGGGGTTGAAGAAAAATTAATTATTATATAACCGAAAGATGGGAAAAAATCAAAATCAGTTAACGTGTTTCGGCGTTTAAAAAAAAATTTACTCATTCAAAAGATATGAATTTTATTTCGTACTTCTGGCCATCCCTATATATATGTTAATTTAGTGGATACATTAGTGGGTTTTTTCGCCTGTTAGTGTCCCAAATGGTAAATAAATAAATAAATAAATAAATATAACCGAAAGATGGGAAAAAATCAAAATCTTTTAACGTGTTTCGGCGTTTAAAAAAAAATTTACTCATTCAAAAGATATGAATTTTATTTCGTACTTCTGGCCATCCCTATATATATGTTAATTTAGTGGATACATTAGTGGGTTTTTTCGCCTGTTAGTGTCCCAAATGGTAAATAAATAAATAAATAAATAAACACTTCGTTTTCTTCTAGGTAAAGGCGTAGGTAGCCTAATCGGCGGATACTCAATAAAATCTATCGGTATCCGCTCGACTTTCCAAGCTTTTTCCTTGATGACAGCCATTACAGGACTAATTTATTTTGCATTCTACCACATCTATTTGAAGAAAAACCCTTCGCAAGGCACAGATATTACTAAAAAGGACGTAGAGACGGACAAGTCGGCACAAATGGAGAAAACCGAAATTGCCGACATACAAGCAGACTTGCCTGTGGTGTATGAAGATGCATTGTGTAATCCCGCTTATGAAACGACAGAAGTTGAAGATGAAGAGGATGAGAACGAAGAAACAGATAAGAAACCTCGAAATCAAAACGGTGAAATTTAATTTAGTTTAATATAGTTACTGTTAATAAGTACAGTATTAATTTTCTTAGATATATAAATGTGTAAGTTCCTTTTTTAACCTCAAATGGTGCTAAGCTAAAATGTATATTGTAAAAACTCTACAACACGGCATAGTACGGTATGTATTTAAATAATAACTAAGGTAGAAATAATATTTAAAGTTACAAATTCATACAACAAAATAGTACAATATAACTGTGAAAAGTATGGCTTCGAATTAAAAATATATGTTTAATCAATAAGTATGCACCATAAAGGAATATTTTGTTATCAACTGATTTTTTAGAAATTTGAATTTGCCAAAGGCAGGTCTGAGAAGTAAAAACAAGTCAAAAGAAAAGTTGTCTAGTAAACGTCTTGGTTTTCGACTTTTTATTTTAAGATATTATCTTAATGGAATTATATATTTAGTTATATCTACTACTATAACCGTTTATATATACAGGGAGTCCCATCGGTAATCATCACTATCGATATCTCGGAAAGTACTGATCCGATAAATCTAAAAATTTGGCAACCTAGCAAATGCACAGTAAAAATATTTAGAACTCTATGGCACTTCAGAATTTACGGTGAACCTAGTACAATATGTGTGGCGATTCCTTAGATTGTTGTTGCATAATTCCATGTAAAATATAAATATCCACACGACTTTGGTCAGCCCTTCGAAAACGAATCACCCTGTATAAGTCAAATTATTTTTAAAATATGCATTTCTATTAACCTATTTTGAAATATTTTGCCTCAATTATATTCTAGCGGTAAATCAACTTTGCCACAACGTTGACTCACCCTGTATGTATATTGAAAAATAATAAAAACTCTTTTATACTATTTTACTTCTCTTGTATACAGGGTGTTAACAAATTTTGAAGAGTAAATAAATCAAGGTGCTAAAGCTTGTTTGGAAGAAATATTTTTGCAAATAGAACATCTTTTTAATACCATAATAAAACAAACGAACATTTTTGGAACCTCTAGCTCCATCGATAGCTTTTAACTCACAGTTTTCATTAACTGCTCAATTAATTCATTGTCACTGTATTAATGGGCTATTTTAGTATACTTGTTCGCACTTATTAAAAAAAAAGAAAACAGTTAAAGTAAGAATGTTAAACGTTTGTTTACTAACCATTTTTCTTGAATCTTAAAACAATAAAGACACGTTTCCATAAACTAAAGTAGAACTGATGATGATAAAATTGAACTAGAAATGTTTCTTTTACTATAAAAGAACGGGACAAAAAGCGAACGGCGTTCTATCTACGCCAACAATTTAGGCAGTGTTTTGCAGTTCCAATGGTTTTTATTGTTAAAAACGCATTCTACTTGTCATAAAAAAATATTGTAAACACCCAGTATAATTTGACTTGCGTTTGACACGTTATTTGGCAATATAATCTTAAAATTTTTCAAAATCGATTATTAAAAATATTCCAATATGACGGTGTCATTGTATAGTTGAAAGGTTGATCAACTTTTTCAAGTATACAGTGAGGTTCTTTAATATATAACAATATACAGGGTCTTTAATTCACTGAAAGCAGTAAAATGTTCTTCCTCTGACATTAAATAATAAAAATGTCTCTGCCCAGAAGAATGCCATGCGAATACAATTTTTAAAACGAATGAGAAAACCTTTTATTTTCTAAATAACATTCAGTTTCTTATACTATTTTTTGGTTGAAGTACACTTTTGTTTAAATTTAATGTCCACCATCCATCACTACTTAATTTTAACAGTATTTTAAGTTTAAGAAAAATCATGATAAACATAAATTATTTCCTATGTATTCCTGAAACATATCTGGTAACTACGACCTTGACAACTTTTGATAATTATTATTATAGTGATTATCAAAGTATAGTTATTATAACAATTTTGGTAGCATATTAACAAATATTATAGTCGTTGGGAAAAAACTAACTTGCCACCGAAGTAAATAATCTGAAATAAAACTTAAAATTTGTTTCTGTTCTGAAAATTTTTGGAAAAATATAAAAAGTGTTTCCTAATAATGTACATATTGAAGGTCATTCCTAAGGCCATTTCAAGAAAAAAATACAATGTAAACTTGTGTCCTAAAAACCGTTTTTGAGATAAAGTGTGTTGAAATTTATATCTATAAAGAAGTTGAAAAAAAGCCAGTCACATAAATTTCTTCAGAAAGTGCTTTTTGGTCGAAACTAGAATTTTAGTGGAAACAAGAAAACACGCAGACACGCACTGAAAAAACAGACTAGACATGTCGCTTTTACCAGATATGTATAAGTAGTCAGAAACCATTACAGTAATGTCAATGTCAATCACCCCAAAGATAAGTTGTACATGTACAGCTTTGGTCAATAAAAAGTTTTAGATCGGAAACCTTATGTTGTCCACAGCTGTAGGCAACAGTTGGTAACTGGCTAACTTTAATGTGATCAGCACAATTGTGTTGTAAAGCAGCATAAATGTGAATTTATTCCTGTGTCTGTGATAATATGATAGAGAAGTAATCTAATGTATTGCCCAACGTCATCTGGAGATGGAATCTAAACAGATTCAGTTAACCATGAAATAAGTACGTAGTACATAAGTTTAATTTAAATTAAAAAATAAGAGTAACTTCTATTTCGATTAGAAGTTTTGCACTTGCTATCTTTTTTTGACATTTAGAGACTAATTGCCAATTTGTAGCATTTTTGGAAACATACTACATACAGGGTGTCTCAAAATTAATGCAACAAAATTTGGTCATAGATTCTTAATACAAATTTTCGAGATCCGTACTTTTTATTTTTGCCAAGTGGCTCCCTCTTTCAGAGTTACATCCCCCTGAAATCTGTCCCTAAGAATAGTCTTTTCTTTTCTTTTCTTTTCTTTTCTTTTCTTTTCTTTTCTTTTCTTTTCTTTTCTTTTCTTTTCTTTTCTTTTCTTTTCTTTTCTTTTCTTTTCTTTTCTTTTCTTTTCTTTTCTTTTCTTTTCTTTTCTTTTCTTTTCTTTTCTTTTCTTTTCTTTTCTCAGAACCCAGAACCCTGTTGTGCGAAAATCATGACATGTGGAATATGATAGTGCTACCCTTTTTGGCGTGGAACCCCCTTAAGACACTTTTTTTTTCGTGGTCCCCCTTATCTTTGGAACCAAAAAAATTTGGTCGCATATTTGAATTTCTTAAAAATTATTAATTCGCCAGATCTTGATATCGATATTGATATTGATATTTTTTTCGTAAAACGCAATGTTTTCGAGAAAAAGTGGCGGATCACGATATGCATTCGATCACATTTTGATATTTTTCTCGAAAACATTGCGTTTTACGAAAAAAGTATCAAGAGACAAAAAGTTTTTAAAAATGGTTTTCTAGCGGATTAATAATTTTTGCGAAATTTAAATATGCCATCAAATTTTTCTGGCTCCAAAGACGATGGAGCCCACAAAAAATTGTCTTGAGGGGATTCCCCGCCAAAAAGCGTAGCACTATCAGATTCCACATGTCATAAAACCCATGTGTACCAAATTTTGTGATTTTCGTAAAACAGGGTTCTGATATACATATAAAAAAAATATTATTGTTAGGGGCGCGGGCGGCTTACAGGGAGCTGTATCTCCGAAAGAGGGGGCCACTTAGCAAAAATAAAAAATACGGGTCCACTTTTGTCTTAAGAATCTGTGACCTAATTTTGTTGCATTAACCTAATTTTGTTGCATTAATTTAGGGACACCATGTATAAAAATTTGATGTTAGCGTACATAAAATAAGAAGAAGAAGAAGAAAGAGAAGAAGAAAATTTGCATTTTTATTATACAATATTAGATAAAGCATATTACAGAATATTTTCATTTAAATCTAAACTCTCTGTTATATATAAATTCTATTTTAATAGTGCAAATTGCAATGTATTTGTCTTAATCAACGATATTGCTTCAATTTAAAAATTGTAATAATATACTTTTCTTAAAGTTACTCTTCTGGATCAAATTAAATGTTCTCGAAATTTCTAAATAAAACAAGGACATGTTAATATATTTGAAATCGTTCAAATTTTTCATGACAAAATTGTCAGTGTGAAATATTTACAATTATGGTATTATTAAGTACCTGCCGGTATTTTTATTGTAAAACTTGTTTTATACAGGATCCAATTCCAGTTGAATTGTTGTGGCTAAGAAATTTTAAATATATAATAGTAAATCCACCTGGTATTTAGCTAAATGATAATTTTAAATATAGATAACGTTATTGTTCTGTCATTTGATTGTATTATTTTCATGAAAACTGGAAATAAAAATTTTAAATAAAAACTTATGTCTATCTAGTCTATTTTTTATTGAATAATAACATAAACACCTTTCTTTAGGAAGTACAATGTTACATTTTCAATTTTATGTCCATTGATTTAAAATGTTTTTGAAAACCCTCTGGATTTAGAGAAATAACTATAGTAGGATCATATTCGATGCAAAGTAATAAATCCTGTCAAGGGATCCAGTGCAATACGGTTTTAAGGGGTTTAGAAATTGAATAATTTATTTATGCATTATGAAGGGATGAAGGGATCAGTTCACATCTGGCACCCCTGTCCCTTCAAAACTTCCTTTATTCTCATAGACTATTTATTTTAAATGTAATTTATTATAAATCCAATTTGTTTTTTAAATTCCACATATACACATTTACCTCTGTACGCGTCACTGTTGTTTACTTGTTTTTTGGAGGCTGTCTCTGATTTACGACCAAGCTCGCCAGGGTAGTATTTGACGTATAACCGACCACTTCGTACACTTGATGCACCTGGGCGACTACAGCTACTACCAGAACACAGTGCGTATGCAGCGGTATTTCAGATTTAACATTCAATTTCATTTTAAATTTGAAATGGTTTATCTTACGCCTCCTAAAAATGATGACACGATTTTCCTTTGATAAAAGACCGACAATTTTTTGCTCTACTTTGCATCGAATACGATCCTACTATAGAGCTGTCACAAACGGTCCGCTAGCCATTGTCGCCGTCAAGCAGTCATGGGAGCTACCTAGCTGTCGGTTTAATCGCCGATTTCCCCGTAGTCGAGCGATTTCTTTTAGGATTTTAGTTGTCATTTGATGCATAATTGTGTGTA